TCGTGTATCGACATGCTTTCTCAACATTACCATGTCAATACATAACATGTCAATACATTTAGCGTACTTCAATCATGTCATTCATCATTTACCATCATTTATAGCACATAATCCAAATTTATCCACAAAATCAACAAAATAACATGGCTCAACAATTTGCATAAACTTCAAATTAAGCAAACCCTATTCATCAATTACACAAATAACATCTCAAATATACATTCTAAAAAGGGGGAAAACAGAGAATTAGCTACAAAACTTAAGAAATACATCAATTAGACAACTCTACCTCATTTGAAAAGCCCCAAATTTTTGAAATTTCCTAGGCCACCCAAATGGAACTTTGCTCGATCAATTCGAAACTCTCGTCGAGCTCTACAACTTTGCCTTCTATTACAAAGATCAAATCTTAATGGAAGAGGTTGAAATATAGGCCTAAAGCATGTAAAAACTAAGTTTGTAAAGAGAGAAAGTGATATAGTGAGAGAGAGAATAAACCTACAGCTGATGAAGGAGTAATAATACAGAAATGAAATGCCTACTCACATTAGTCATAAGTATAGTCAAGCCTTGGTCCCATCTTTGACCAACAAATTGTTTAAAATGCCCCTTTTGTGATATATATATATATATATATATATATATATATATATATATATACCATTATGTCCCAAACACATATTTAAACACACCAATACATAGATATGCATCAAATAATAATTATGAAATGCATATGAACCCGGGAAAATAATCTCTAGCACAAAAAATTCAGGCGTGGGGTCCACACAGGACCTCCTAGATCCGAATCCCAAAAAAAGGCTAAAATGACGCAAAATGTATTTATAAGAGTTCTAAACTCAAAGAAATGTCCTAAATCACTCTCAGAACCTTTGTGGTATGTTAACCAGCGCGTGACACCCAAAACGAGGTGCGAAAATAAAATAATCCAAAATTTCAAAAAATACCGAAAAAATGCAAAACGTCACATCCACTTTACCACCATATGGGTGAAATGTTCATTTTAATAAAGTCTAACCATCCAATTGTTGATCTGATTGAGCCACTGCACTCAGAATATCCAAATTCTTTAAGATAGGTTGTTTACTTATAAAAATTTAACAGTCACATTCCCGACAGTCAGATGGGCCCGCTCGAGCAGTGCTACATAGGCGCCACGTAGGCGCCATATAGTCAGGACACATGATTTATATTTAAAGTTAGTCAGGACGCATGATTAGTCAAAATTGGTTCGAAATACCAATTATTTTACCACATAGTCAAAAATTGACCAAAAGTTAACAATGCAAGCTGACAAGTCAAAATTTATCAAAGTTGTCAAGATTAATCAAAATTAATCAAAAAATTCAAAATCAGGTCTTGGTAATGTTACCAAGACGTTATTTAGTCAAATAAGCCAAGAGAATACACAATAGTGTCTTTGCAACTCTTCTCAGTCATTTTATCCTAAAGAACACGTAATAGTGTCACTGTGACGCTACTCGGTCAAATAAGCCTAAGGAATACTCAGTAGCATCTCTACAATGCATTTCATCCATTTTTGCCTAAAGATTACGCAGTAGCATAAGAGCAGCGCTACTAGATCAGAATAAGGCTAAATAAAAGAATAGCGTTTAGGTGACGCTACTATGTAAAAAACAGGCCAAAATGAGGGAAATACACCATAGGGTGCGGCTCTACGGGAAAATTGATTCGCATGATTCAATTAAAATTTTGAAATTTATTTTTCAGATTATATTCATTTTAATATGGTATTGATATGTTGAACATTGCACATTGTGGTATAAGTAATTCCATTTTATTTCATAATAAAATAAAAATGCATAATTTCTTATTTATTTTCAGCATGTTATTATAAATGAAACTTGAATATATAAAAATCCCAAGAAATGCCATATTAAGTGGGAGATTGTTTGATTGAGATTAATTTCTCTTGAAAATCAAATTTGGTGCATAAATTAAATAAAATATTGATAATAGTCACTTGTGTGGTATGTAATGTCCTTGATTTTTTTGGATTTTTCGGTTATTTTTTTATTTATTTTTCATGCCTCGTTTTACATGCCACGTGGGTCCTTAGGGTCGTTTGGGACATTTTCTTGAGCTCGGGAGTTTTATAAATGCATTTTATTATTTTAAGCATGTTAGAGATTACAGGATTGATTTTATGGTTTTTTCGTAGTGGTGACCAACTTTTGTGCATGGGAATTCCTCCCGGTTTTTCATTTCCATTAATTGTTTGGTATTTGGCATGTTATATATATATATATGTATGCAAGCACAGATCTATTGTGTGCCCAGTGGGGGCAATTGCCCCCACTGAATTTTTTTTTTATTTTATATAGTATTATATCCTAATATTATATCTTAATATATATATATATATATATATATATATATATATATATATATCTATAAAATTATACTATTGCCCACCTGAAATTAGTAAAAAATTTCACATTGCCCCCCCTAACTTATATTTTTGGATCCATCCCTGTATATTCGTGTGTGGAAGATATTTTTATGGCAAAATAGGAAGTTACATAGCATGAGAGGGATAAAAAAATAACTTCAGCAAAAGTTAGATTTAACCACAAAGTGACACATGGCACAAGGAGGACCACACCTCCATTTTGGAAGACTTTACAACTACCTCATCTCCCCCTCAATTTTGGCCAACTCTCCCTCTCTCTCTCTTGTTTTCTTATTTCTCTCTCTATATCTACACACACACACATATACTTTATGCTTCAAGCTTAATTTTAGGAGCTTTAGAGTGAGATTTGAGAGAGGACCAAGAAGGCAATTTTGCTCTACTCGACAGGAGCTACCATTTGACACCACTCTTGAGGCCACTTGTAGGATTTTTGAATTTTGGGGTAGCTTTAAGGGCTTGTTTGGCTTGCTCTCTTGAGGTAGGGATGTCTAATACATTGAGCTTTGTCTTTCATTGAGAAATCCTTCCTTGTTCCTCCATTAAATTCACATTGAATGCATGATTGTGAATAGGTTGCTAGTTGATTGATAGTGTGATGAAAACATGCTTGTGTGTGATATAAAAGGTGCCCTTATATGCTAAGTGTAGTACATGTTGCTTCTTAATTGTGAAAAAGCTAAATTTATAAATGCTAACATGATTGTGATGAAGAAATTTCAATGATGAGCATGTTTATATTTGATTCCTAGAAAGTACTATACCTATGCCATTATAGTTATAGAAATGAAATTGATGTTAAGTTGATGCTTTGATTCATGTGCATGGCATGACATAATGGGAAGGTTAAAAGGAATGTCAAATAAGTTAAGGTAGAAAAGGGTTGTGGAATGGATTTTATAAAAGAACCGGATTTCGCAAGTCCGATGCTAACTTGACCTAGAGGGAGTGTGCGCCTGTTATAGGACATGTAACATTGATTACTAGGCCCCAAATAGTCATCGGATTTGAGGCTATGAATAGCTAATCAATCTCGTTTATCATAGCCTAATTTATATTCCTAGGTTCGGACTCGTATTTTGAGGTATTCCTTTAGCATCTAAAATGTTGTTAAGGGTTTCTCGGTCTAATTGTAACTTGTTTGAGCTGTCGGTGTGTTCGGTAGTATTGTTTTTCACCTTTGTCGTGTCTCCAACAGTTATTATTGGCTTGTTTGGGCTGTCGGTGTGTTCGGTAGCATTGTTCTTTGCCTTTACCGTGTCTCTGATAGTTTTTGTTGATTTGTTTGGGCTGTCGGTGTGTTCGGTAGAATTGTTCTCCGCCTTCTCTCGTTTTTCTTCATCATTTGCACTTGCTGCTACTCGTTATCTCATTGGCAATTGGGCATTCATGTTCCAACTTGAGGGGGAGTATTGAAGATTTAATGGAGGAAAATCCTCCAGTAATTGATATTATTTCCTATTATTGAAGATTTACTGTTACTAAAGAAATCAATGGAGAAAAATACTTTTTGTGTCTTATTTTCTATTTTTTTTCATTCTCATTATTTTTTCTTGTGTATGAGTTGAGAAAGTATTATAAAAGTCATGTAATCTTTTGAGCTCTTTATACTGTTGATATAGGCCTTAGTAGTTGAATGTAACGAGTGGACGCTTGCCCACTGATCCAAAAGTTTAAGTTATTAAGTAGTGTTGCATACCCACCCATTTATACCCATTTCATTTCCTATTCAGATTCGATGTGGGACACCTCTACCATTCTCCCCCACCCAAACTCGCAAAACCCTCATTGCGGTTGGGCCACCCTGTCCACCTGGAGTGGCAACCCGGACGCTTTCGAGTGGGGCGTTTGGAGAGACACCAGATTAAAAACTGGGTTTGACTCTAATAACAATTGTAATGGGTGAACGCTTGCCCGCGGATCTAAAAGCTTACTATATACTCATTCATTTATACTCATTTTATTTTTCATTCAAATTCAATATGAGACACTTCTAACATTAAACCACATAATATTTGTGTGTATTCGTTTAATTCCTCTCTTAAATCCATATGTTTAATTCCTCCCTTAAATCCATATTTTACAATTTACAACAGTATGCATGTCTTGTGTAATTAGGGATATGACATTTCACAATATAACATAGATCCGAAGTCTAACAATATAGGAGTAACATACATGTTACTAAATTTAACCTAAACTTTCCTAATCGGGTTGGCTCATCCATGGGTGGCCTGATTTGGGTCTAGATCCGAAGTCTAACAAAATGTATAACTTGAAGAATTCAAGAATTTAGAAAAGATAAAAGAATTTTCAAAAGTTAAGCAATGAATAATTATAAATTTGTTTAAACAATACGGAGTAATAGAGTTGTTAAAGTAGTAATTTTATTTTCTTTGTTATTAATAATTATAAAGTACTCCGTAGTAATGAATTTAAGCACAGCACGTGTTATATATATACACATATATATATATATATATATGTATATATATATATCCTAACCATTCGTATGATCAGGTAAATTTATAGTGTCTATGGTTAGGATATATATATATATCCTAACCATTCGTATGATCAGGTAAATTTACAGTGTCTATGCACTGAAAAGCCAATTCAAGTCCCCGGTTGGGTTACAGTTCACAGACTTCGAAGAGAGAGAGAGGGAGAGTTCATAGATTTATCGATCATGTCATTCTCGTTCTTCAAGCCCTCGAGGCCTAAAACCCCACAGGAGCTCGTGAAAGTGATCAAGGACAGCCTCATGGCTCTCGACACCAAAACCGTGGCCGAAGTTAAATCCCTTGAAAAGGTTTTCCTATGTCCCATCCTCTGTTTCGCATATCCACACACGCATATATATATAAATCTATATGCAACACACATAAACATTATATCCATGAGTTAGGTCTTACCATTTATACCAAGACGTTGACGCTCAATTTGGACTTGGGGCTCACTGCATTTCTCTCCAATTAGCGGTTTTTTGCCGAAATTCTTACAAAATTGACTTCATTACATCATAATTCTGGTAGTTAATCGAATTGATTTCTTGTTAGCTGTGACTAATATGAAGTATTCATGCTGAGTGTTAAATTATTGATTGGAATTCTCTAATTACCATTTGCACTTAGTAGGAGGATGTTTGAAATGGTTTCAGATATTGGGTATTAAATTTTACATGTGTGCCCGCCATAAACATTTACTGGTACTCATATGATGACAATTTCAGAGTGGATTTAACTAGTAGAGTTGTCAAAGATGGAAACTGAAACTAAATTATCAATTGTTGGTAAGTTTTATTTTCTAAATGTATGTAATATGGTTGACAAATTTCCTAGATTGTAATTGAATATTCCAAATATTTTCTTAGTCTCGTTGGATGCTCCTGAACCTGATATTGTGTTTTCTTTCATTTGGTATCTCTTTTACTCCGGCTCAAACTCTTTAGATTTGAGAATCTGCATTTAGTCGTTTTGGCACTAACTATTGGATCTCCATTAACTCGAAGGGAATTCTAGAATATTGCTGATAAGAATTCTTCAAAGTACGTCCTCTTTCTCCTTATGTATTCGTGATATGATCATATGTTGTATTGTGAGAAATCCGGTATGGGTTTTGGGGGTCCAGATGTTGATGGTTTGAAAAAGTGCGGGCCTTTATCAAGTGGGGCTTCATTTGAGCAAACTATCTTCAATAGATGGCCGTAGGCGACTATCATTAGAAGGAAAATGACATTCATGCATTTGTCATTATTCTCACATTCATTTATGTGACTATAGAAGGGTTTTTGTAGACTCGAAATATGTTCTCTCTCTGTCTCACACCTTTCGAGAACAGCACAAAACAGCACCATTGGCTGGGCAAAACAGGTTGAATTTCTCGTTCACCTATATCCTGCCAGCAAATAACTCTTTTCTTTCTTCTTCCACCAGCTCCCTTTTTGAAACCCTAGGGCATTGAATTACTTTTCTGTGATTGTTGTGCCATGAATCCATGATCAATCCACGTATACATATTCTTGAGCGAAACCATGGGTGATTTCTCTCTATTTCCTTATGTGATTGTGCCCTAATCCATCCTTTTCTGATCTGCATCCAAACACCCTAGATCTTACATGACAATTGAAGACAATTTACATGATCTTGCATAGATCTCCGGCGATTTCTATCCTTTGGAGACTTGACCGCTGCTCTTATCGATCAATTACTCTTTCCTTTATACATACATATATATTATTACATTTACTTATAAAAAAAAATTACATATTCCGAAGCTTCATTGATATTGAAGGATTTAAATATTAAAGTTACACCCTCTCTAACAGCTTAAGCTTTTAGAGTAGATGGATAGTTAACATGGTATCAGAGCCAAAGGTCTCGAGTTCAAACCTCACCGTCACCCTAATTAAAATTGAAAAAACACGTGGTGGACCAAAAGAAGGCCACACGTGAGGGGGCGTTAAAGTTACACCCTCTCAAACAACTTAGGCTTTTAGAGTAGTTGGGTAGTTAACAATTCATATTATATGTGTTTATATATTTTGACTTCTATGCATTATATACATACACGTGCATAGGTTTAACACATGTTTTTGATTTATTACCAAGAATATTAGCATGCAATAAATTTTATGGCTGAAAAGTTGCAAGTAAGCATTACTGCAAGGCAACAAGAACAGAAGCCAATAAAATCAAAACAAATTAGGGTGAGTATAGCTCCCTTTGTTCTTGCATTTAAAAAAAGAAGGGAACTTTCTTCACAATTCTCTTGTCAAGCGATGTTTCATATGGAAGAGTTGTAAACATGACACAAAAATCTAACCTAATAAGATTTCCATGATCTTCTTGGGGAGTGTTTAGATATTTTGTCTTTGGTGGGCCTTTTGGAGAGATAGGAATAGGAAATCCTTTGATGGGGTGGAGTCTCTTGGAGAGCATTTAGATACTCTGTTCTTAGTTCTCTATTCTCTCTCTATATATTTTTTGGGTTCAGGTCTCTAATTGTAAATCTATGGAGAATAATTTGGCTTTTGTGGATAGCTTCAGGCTATATGTTTTTGTGAAGTTTGGTCTGGGCCGCGTCCCCCTTTTGGGCACTCTTTTTATTTTTATTTTTTATAAGTAAAGATATATTAGAGAGCCTTCAAAAGGGGAACGCATCCCAAGAGCTATGCAAGGGCCGAAGCTAAGGAAGAGGTCCTAAGGACCCAAAGAACCCAAAAAATCAACAATTTCCTCTATAGATGTACAATTTCTCCCCATCACCCAACTAAAAAGGGAACTAATAATAACATATTTTAAGGTCCCAATGGAAGATTCCTCCCCTTCAAAAGACCTTCTATTCCGCTCCTTCCAAATGCACCAATTGACGGTGATATGTCTCTTCTCTTTCTTAGATTGTCTATGGTCAGAATCTTTCCATGGTCTTCATTTCTAGTTAGGTGATATATTCTAAATCTGCAAATCTTCGTTAAATGTCCTAAATTTCTATTCATTTAACAGAGGTTGGTTGACTTGATACCTGTAACTCACATGATAGCAGCCATGTGCTTCTCCCTTTAATGTTTCTCTATTTATTTGATAACAATTATTTGATAGTCTTTGATAGCTGTGGTTTCTACTAATTTTTATTTTATTTTTTATTTTAAAAAAAATAAAATAAAAGAAAGAGGAGTCTTTTGAAGATGTTTGAGGCCTGTGTTTATGACTTGAAATTTTGATATGGTATGTTATTGAATGTTTTTTTAGGTGTAAATGCTCATTACTGAATATGAGAAGAATCACTTCGTGCAAATAATGTACAATTGAGGTCTTTACTAAGTCCATCCGTCTTATCTTCTCTGTAGTGAGACAACTACCTAGAAATGGTATACGCCTATCTGAATTTTTTGTAATACTACATAAATGAGCTTGTATCTTCTCCAAATTTAGCAGGAACTGGGCAACTTCTTTCGTTAGTTTAGAAGAAAGTAGAATCTATCTTCATCAAAGTATTTACCTTTTTGTGATATTATCAAGGTTTATACTATGAACCAAGACAAGGCACTTGGCGAAGTTGTAATGGATTGGCAAGGATAGGAGCGACACCGGATGACTGAAGAGGGACTAGGCGCAGAACTGATTGAGTCAGCACAGTAATGACCATTACTACATTATAATGGCCAAGTCGGCCGTTGCAATTTGGCAAATTGAACTCTGCCCTTTTTTTCCCTCGTCATCTCTTTTTCTAAATGCCTTTTTTCACCCCCTAAATTCATCCTAAATCCTAAAATCTGTGAATCAAACTTAAAAAAACATAAAGACTGTGGCCTTAATATTGGATCAAACTACTACAAGCTTTCAACTAGTCATTATGATTTTTATTTTTTTATTCTATTTTTATTTTTCACTTAGATCAAACACAGAATTGTTGCTTGATGCTATATCTATAACATTTTCCATGGATCTTGCACCAGATCTTTGGATTTATCGGTGCTTCATTTACTTTTTAATTCAACACACTTATATTTTCGTACAATCATGTGACCACCTCCATCTTTGGGAGACTCACTATGGTGGTTTCCTACACCGTAAATGCTATGAGACGCTGTCGTGACACTAGCAACAGGAGGATAACTTCTGCAGATCTTCTTCATAGAACATTAATATATTTGCTACAAACTGAGGGGAGGGTTACGTGTCTTATACCCAACAAGAATCACAATCCCAGTCAAAAGATCCTTTTCTTCTTGTATTGTCACTCATTTTGGTGATGAAATGTATTACTTGTTTTCAAGTTGCATATTCCATGATAAAAGATTGATATGTATGTTATATTGTTCTTTAATGTGTCTTAGTTGGTACTTTTGTATTTGTTTCTTATTTAAATACATTTAGAGTCATAAATTATGTGAAAAATACAAACTGGTTAGTGCTTACTGTTGACAACGATTTACAATACAATACATGGATTTATTTCTTTTCCATCTTTTTCTCTTTCTTTACTGTGTGTTTTTTAATCTGATTTGTGCTGTAGAAAATGACTGTTGAAACAATGTGTATTGATATAAAATTGCAATACAACAGTCACATGAGATGATTGGCCACTATTATGCAGCTTTGTTGGGTGCTAACTAATTTGAAATGGCAGTCAAATTTTTTTTTTTTTTTTCCCTGTGATAACAGTGAGTGAAACCACATGAAAAAGTCAAAACCAGTGGAACCAAGAATAAGAAACACAAGATAAACAACATCCATGAATGGGGCTACTTGATAGCAGCCTTGAGACATGCCTTGTTTGGAGTGTGTTACAATATAAATAATGTACAGACTAAGTTTGAAATGAGGCATTGTGATTGTATGCATATAAGTACCTATGTATAATTTGCATTCAATATATATTAGAACATGTTAAACTTGGATACATACTGGTGTATCAAGCATATGTGGGGCTACATATACTTTAGCATACGTGGTTCTGTCGCACTGACAATACAAACATTTATATACCCTGATAACATACGACCGACCATCTATTTGCAATATTTATATATATCACAATGCAAATTTCCTCGCGTTCTTTTTGTAATTACTTTATTATGCTTTTATGCGAAGTCTTGGAGCTACAAAATAAAAACCTAACGTTTTTGGCCTCCGCACATCAATATTAACTAGTATGAGTCATCACCCTAAGTTTTAGTACAATATTATTTCATCTACAAAATAAATTTTAAAGGATGGGTAAAGCTCGTTACAATATTTGTGTGAGCGAATCATTATTCAGTAACATGCTTTTTTAGAGGTTAATCATGAAATGAACATTTATCTAAAAGAATGTCATACTTCTGTTTGACCATCATTTTTCTTAAATTACATGAATACTGAATTGCCTGCCTCTCAGCTATTCCAGTACTGGTTGTAAGAACAACCTTCACTTACTGCCGACTGTTGCTCTTGTCCATGTCTAGAAAAAACCAGAGAGCCGAAGAGTTCCAGATCATGATTAGTTTATATATGTACAATCACTCTCTCATTTCATTTTGATTAGATTACATTGTTTTCCTAATATATGGGGACTATTTGTCATATACATTTTACGAGTATCAACAATCCCAAATTTTACTTAAACAATGGAGCAGAACCTTTGGGCAGGTACTCCATTCTTGTTCAGGGATTATAGTACTCACACTAGAAGTTGGAATGCTATGTGCTGCTCATCTTATGTCCTATTCATTTTCAATAAATCATCAACTTAAGAATATCTTAACCTAGAGGCAAGTGTCTTCTTTAACTTGTGGGAATGACTTTTATCTTTTAGACGGAGGGGAAATTGGTTCCTGATTGAAAATTTCCTTCCCACTTGCCAAATTGAAAACTTCTTGTGAAACTTGCTGCAATATTTTGGAGCATTATATTAACTTACTCTTCATTTAGGCTCCTGTGGATAGCCTCTTCACTCTTTCTAAATTTGTAAATCTTTAGGTGATTAATCTAACATTGGACAGAAATGGTAGATAGTAAATTTTGCTAATGAATTAATTTCAGTTACTTGTTGCCCAATCCGTACTAAATTATAATTAAAATATCCAACTAGTTGCAAATTTATGGTTATATCTTAGGTCTATATCAATTTTATTAATTTCATAGGGTTTTACTATGAAGAACTGTACATTTCATTGATAAATTGTTTCCTCATCATTGATATGCAACTATTATTGTGATTATTCATATTTTATAAGCTTCCGTACCTTCCAAAGAAATATATTTCTTATGTTTCTGGTGCAGGCCTTGGAAGAAGTTGAGAAGAATTTTGTAACAATGAGACATATGCTTTCTGGGGATGGGGAGGTTGAACCAAACATGGATCAGGTTTCACAGCTGACACTTGAAATTTGTAAAGAGGATGTTATTGCTCTTTTAATTCACAAGTTACCTATATTGGCCTGGGAAGTAAGTTATCAGGACTCATTGTATTCTGTAATTTTATAGCTTACATGCTTGCTTAAAATGATATTTTTTGGTCAGGCAAGAAAAGATTTAGTCCACTGTTGGTTCGTATTGTTGAGGCAAAAGGATGGCTCAACAAATTGCTGTGTGCAATACATGGAGAATCATTTAGAATTACTAGACTTCCTTGTTGTATGGTATGGTTCTTAAATTTTTTTTTTTTTCGCTTTTTATTTGTGCTTTCCCTGCACCCTTTCCCTTGCAATAGGGAGACGACACCTAAAGCTGACGGTACTAGAATTCAGTAATCACTATACGTGAATCCCACTTTGCTAGCTAGTCTAAAAAGTGCTATATATTTAAGAAATTTGCAGCATTAAATATGTTGAGGTTATCAAACTCTAACTAATAACACAAGTAAGATGAATTCATGATGCTTGGCAAGAAGTGCTTGGAATTTCAGTTTTTGATATGGTTACCAGTTAATATATATTTTTTTATATCCTCATTGCTATATTCTAACAATTGAGTGAGCACTATATTTTCTTTATCCATAAAGTACCATAGGTAGCAGTTTATTTCTTGGTATTATTATTCTTAATCATTATATATGAGTATAATAATGAATTGAATAATCTTTTCTTAAAATCTCATTCTTGCATCAGATGATGTGGTTAATAAAGCCCAACTTTTCAAAAAAGAAAAAAATTGAAAAAAAAAAGTAAAAGAAAAAAGAAAAGAAGAAGAAGAAGAAGAAGAAGAAGAAGAAGAAGAAGAAGATATGGTTAATAAAGCCCAACCATCTTTGAGCCTATGGGTTAAATCTTAAGTTGGGATTTCTGCATGGAAGTTATGCACACTAATGGTTCTTTTCCCTTTTTATTGTTTTCATACTTTCTTTTTTTTTTTAAAAGTTTCCTATTGAGGTCCTACAGTTGTCTAGATACAAATTAATATCATGCATGCAACTTATTTTTATATTTTCCAAGCAGGTATGATAACAAAGAAATTGCCTTGAATTGTGGAACTATGTTGAGGGAGTGCATCAAAGTACCCAGTCTTGCCAAGTAAGGCATTCATGTTTTTCATTTATTCTTTTATTTATTTATGAATTTATTTACTCCCTCCGTCCCAAAATTCTTTTCCATCTTTCTATTTTGGGATGTCCTAAAATACATGTCCCATTCCAAAAAAATGGATGTACTCCCTCCGTCCCAAAATAAGTGTCATGCTTTCTTTTTTTGTCTGTCCCAAAATAAGTGTCCACTTTTCTTTTTCAAACAATATATTTCACATATTTCCATATATGTCCTTTGAGTTTAAAATTTCAAACTTGAATATTCAAAACTTTAAAAGGCAAGTTAGTAACTTTCCAGGGAGACAATGCATGTCCCACATGCCCCCTTAAAAATTACTACTCCCCATAAGCGACACTTAAATTGGGATGGAAGGAGTACTATTTTTTGTAACATTCCCAAACTATCCTTTTGACATTAACTTGATTAAACAAGTGTACTAATAACGGAGTACTCCTTTGTCTTCTAACAAGGATAAATTTGGAAATTCACTCGTATCAATACAATAAAAAGTATTAAGAACCCACTACCATAAAAAGTCGAATTCTCCAAACACCCCAAGAATTTTGGGACAGGGAGTATTTATTTCTTGGAGGTCCGTATTTTGACTCAAAATTTTTAGGAATTCCCTTGTCTTTTGCTCATGGGAAATCATTGGATGGAAAGTAGAAGCAAAGAGGTGCAGATGTGTTGAGACATATTTCGAGCTAGTGAAGTTTAAATAGTTTGCTTGTGGGTCATTATTTGTTATTTGTGATGCACTATTTAAATTATAGCTTATAAAGGCTAGTGAGTTTTACACATTGAGGCATTTGTAAAGGAAAATTTTTAAACAGGCCGAATCAAATTAAAGGAATTCATATTTTTCATTTATTCTTTTTTTATTATATTATTATTAATATTATTTCTTGGAGGTCATTATTTTGACTCTAATTTTTTAGAAACTCCCTTGTCTCTTGCGTTTGGGAAGTCATTGGATAACAAGTAGAAAACAAAGAGATTTAGAAGAGTGGCAGAAAGGCCTTCTCTTTAGTGCAGATGTGTTAGGTATATTTCCAGCTGCTGAAGCTTAGATAGTTGTGTTTCTTGTGGGACATCGTTTGTTAGTTGTGATGCCCTATTCAATTATAGCTTATAAAGGGTAGTTAGGCTATTCATTGAAGCTTTTCAAAAGTCAAACTTTAAACAGACTGAATCAAAGTACATCATTGGAGGCTCAAACACTTGACGTTATGCGTCAAAGTTTTGGTACAAACCATCACAAAATAATATCACACTCATAGTGCCTCATGTATAAACCCACGTTCATTCGAACTATTTGTCAATATTAAAATCTAAATGAATAAATGGCTGCCATTTGTTAAATATATCTTGATACAAGTGAAAGGAAAAGCTAAAGTTCAAATTTTTTTTGTTCTGAATATCTGTTTGACTATTCATTTATGGATTTGGATGGTTGAATGATTTATAAATTGTTTGCAAATGTAGATTTGCTCATTTGCATGTTACTATTCCCACTAAAACTGTGATTTTTTTTTGTATTGACAAGTGATGATACTTGAGGATTGTCTCAAATATTGAGGTTAACCATCAAGATTTTTGAAGTTCAAACCCTTGCATTGCACCATGCTTTTTGAGATATTGTTCTGAACTTTCATGAGTTGGCTGCACTAGCTTTCTCCTGCAATTACATATCAAATATTTCTCTTCAAATTGGAATGGGTATTGGATGTTCTTTCAAGGGCTCTATCTATTCATTGTCAACACTATTTAGGTCATTGGGTATTTCATTTTTGGCTTTTTTGCTTGAATGTCTCATTTGTTATTGATCTCAACTTGGAACTTGCTTTGGAAAATGGTATAAGGGAAGTTACCAATATACTTTATCAAAAAAAAAAAAAAAAAAAAGGGAAATTACCAATATGTTCTACTTTTCTCTTTTTAAGACTAATAAGTCCTATACAGTTTCAATAAGACCATTTGAAATTTTGTTCCTCACAAATTATACCTCTGAATCTTCCATTTTTAGCCTATGTGAATTAAAACTAAATTTTGCTATTAAAATTTTTTATCCAAAGATTGATTTAATTTTTAAAATTAATTTTTTAGTATAACTTTTCAAACATATTTAATATTTCCTTAGCAATTGGAATTTTTGTCAATTTTTAAATTTTGACTATTAAAATAATTATTTTTGAAAATATAATAACTAATATGGAGACATATATTGAATGTACGACTTAATGGTCGTTTTGAAAATGGATAGGACTTCTTTCTCATTAGAAGGAAAAAGTAGAAATTGTCATTAATTCTACCAATGATTTTTTGGCCAAGCATGCCTACATAAATGATGGATATCAGTGTTAGGAATCTTTAAAGGTGTATAAAAGGCGCAAAAAGGAGGGTTCTAAGGCTCAAGCCTTAGTTATGCATATGCTTGATGATGTGGGGTCCACATTGCGTTTTGAATAATTGGGAGTTTTGCTCAACTTTTATTATGCTATAAAGTTAGTATTGAATCTATTGATTACCTCAATTATGGGGTAATCCAGGAGTCAAGTATTGATTGCCTTAATTATGGGATAATGCAAGAGTTGAGTATTAGTTACTTTAATCAATCCAAGAGTCAAGAGTCAAGTATTGATTGCCTCAATTATGGGGGTAATCCAAGAGTCCAGTATTGATTCCCTTAATTATGGGGTTAATCCAAGAATCATGAGTTACACTCCCAGAATGCTGTAAAAAGGATGGGATGTAAATTTGGTGAGGGAAATGAATGTTTCGTAAAGCATAAAATATATGTGAAGAGAGAAATTAATGAGTAAAACACAACTATTACGTGGTTTAGCTACTAGGGCTTACATCCATGGCACAAAGAACCCAAAGGGCTACATATCTTTCATTATAATTTCTTTTTTCATACACAATACAATGGTGGAGGCTCCTATATATAGGAGAGGAAATGATGAGAATGAAAAGCGATAGAAAATAGGTAACGATGATTTTTCTCCATTGATTCCTCCAGTAACAGTAAATCTTCAATAATAGGTTACAACATCAATTATTAGAGGATTTTCCTCCATTGATTCCTCTATTAAATCTTCAATACTCCCACTTAAGTTAGAGTATGAATGCCCAACTTGTTATTGAGATGACGGATAGCAGCAAGTGCGAATACGACAGCCCAAACAAGTCTACAAAAACTACCGGAGGCACGGAAAATACGAAGAATAATGCTACCGAACACATCGACAGCCCAAATAAGTCAACAAAAAACTACTGGAGACACGGCAAAGGCGAAGAACAATGCTACCCAACACATCGACAACCCAACAAAAACTGCCGGAGACACATCAAAGGCGAAGAACAATGCTAAAGAACACACCAACAGCACAAACAAGCCAATAAAAAACTGTCAGAGACACGGCAAAGGCGAAAAACAATGTTTCCGAACACATCGGCAGCCCAAACAAGTCACAAATAGCATCGAGAAACCCCTAGCAACATTTCAGATGCTAAAGGAATACCCTAAAATAGGGGTCTGAATCTAAGAAAGAGAAATTAGGCTCCCATGTTGTAAAGCATAAAACAAAAGTGAAAAGAGAAATGAAACAAGAAGAACACAAAAATATTATGTGGTTCGGCCACGAGAGCCTACATCCACGACACAATCTCCAAAGGGCTACATCACTCATATAAAATTCTCTCTTTACTCATACACAATACAATGGTGGAGGCTCCTTTATATAGGAGAATGTTGAAAGATAGAGAGAGAGAGAGAGAGAGAATAAATGAAAACATATATGTTATTGAGTGAGTAACACAATAATACAATGGTGTTTATATAGGAGAAGCTACGGGAGTAGGTGAATGGAGAACAAGAAGACCCTATACATGGTAATTCTATATATGGTAATGAGGGGTAGGTGACAACTTATACAATATTATACAACACTCCCCCTCAAGTTGGAGAGTAAATGTCAATAACTCCCAACTTGTTATATATGGAATCAATAGAGTTCTTGGGAAGTGCCTTAGTGAAGATGTCTGCCAGCTGTCTACCAGAAGAAACAAAAGGTGTAACAATCTCATTCGAGTCAACTTTAGATCGAATGAAATGGCAATCTACTTTAATGTATTTAGTCCTCTCATGGTAAACTGGATTGCTAGCAATATGAATAGCTGCCTGATTGTCACAATAGACAGGAATTGGGTAATGGACTGAAATCCCAAGTTCCTGTAAAAGAGTTTTCAACCAAGTAAGTTCACAGGCAGTGTGTGCCATGGCACAATACTCTGCTTCAGCACTGGAACGAGCCACAACTGACTGTTTTTTACTCCTCCAAGTTACTAGATTTCCTCCTATGAAGGTGCAGTAACCCGTGGTGGACCGTCGATTAGAAGGAGAATCGGCCCAATCTGCATCTGTATATCCCTTAATCCGAAGATGTCCAGAAGATCGATAAAGCAGACCACGTCCCGGAGCACCCTTGAGATACTTCAAGATGCGTACAACTGCCTCTATGTGGGGAACTCGAGGACTGGTCATGAACTAGCTCACAACACTAACTACATAGGAGATGTCTGGACGAGTGATTGTGAGGTAAATAAGTTTACCTACAAGTCTCCGATACATCTTTGGATCATCGAGTAGGTCACCATCATCCACCTTAAGTTTTACATTACTTTTTATGGGTGTAGCTACAGGTTTCGAACCAAGATATCCAGTATCCTGTAAGAGATCATGAGTATACTTTCGCTGAGATAGACTAATGCCTTGCTTCGACTGAGCCACCTCAATTCCTAGAAAATACCAAAGTTTGCCCAAATCCCTAGTAAGGAAGCTACAACTAAAGTGATGGATTAGAACTTGTATCCCATCTTTGTCACTGCCGGTGATAACAATATCATCTACATACACCATAAGAATCACAATACCACGTTTCGTTTTCTTAAAAAAGAAAATTTATTAAACGATACAAAATTAAAGA